TAGGAATCTTTAATTGGACAAATTTGCGTCCCGGTAGCTTGTAATTGGCTATTAACTATTTTCAAGCTCTGTGTGTGACATTACTTGGTTCCTGTGTGCTGCTACTGATTGGGTGTACACGCACACGGCACTGATGCGCAGACCTAGCTTAATAAGGGATTTCACACGTTTCTGACGTATTTTTTTTGCTTGGGGTAATCATGCTTTTCAAAGTGGGAAATGTGGGGCCTTTAATTAATTCAAGTCTAACAACTATCGGTGGTAAATTGACCCAGGCTTTCACGTTGCTTGTGGTGCATCATTCCTTCCTACGAGATGTCGCTCAGGAACGTTTTCTTATCTGTCTTATTCACAGACCAGTACCGAGAAATCGGACTCGACTGTGGCTGTGTTTAGAAACAGAGAAGCCAACCCACCACAGAAGTGAGCCAAGTGTCAAAAACACGATGATGAGCCGCCGATAGCCCACGCCTCATCGAAACTTGCAAGTCGATGATCGCGCGCTGACATTTCGTCCCGAAACTTTTGCTGGTCACTGTAAAAGCCTTTGAGCTGCTCGAACGCATGCCCTATTGAATAGATACCTTCCTCACCAAAATACTATAAAAGGCGCGCTTTATGGGTGTTAATGACTGCAGCAAGCTCAGGCATACCAACCCCTTTGGTGTGACTGGATATGATAGGCAAGGTACTTTTGTTAGAACGTAGATGTTGCTGAACGCAGCCACACACCGTCTCGCAACTGCAGAAACTAGTGTGTTGTTTACGTCATCATCAATTTGAGATCTCATCGCACACCCACAAACCCAGCTCCTCAGCCGCGCTGTGTGAAATTGTGAAGTCCCCTTCGTGTTCATAGTATTGCTTCCTTTTTAAAGCAATTTCACCTCTAATCGCAAACCTCTTCTCTACCAAAGGACCTTTCACACCGAAGAAAGTACACAGCTTGCTCAGCCACCCCTTAAAACGAGCTTGCTGCTGCTGTACCAGTGTAGATAATCCTTGAAAAGACACGAAATCCGCATTTGCTTCCTTAGCTACCTCCCTCAATACAAACAAAAAATGCTACCACACCAAACTGGGGCTGCACGTGGTTTTCTTATCTACCAGGTATCCACGAATGGCAAATCCGTGCACGCAAATCCAATCCGAAACATTGTACATCGATATCCAGCGTATGTCCGAGACTATTAAACATGTCGTACGTATTTTGATAATAAGAGTCTGCCGTTGGAGATAGCCAATGACAGCATACAATCTCGAAAGAAATGTTTCTTGAGGTGCCTGCTCAAATACCATTTGCATATTCAAGTTCAATTGGTGGAGTCCGCACCAAATCTTTGTCATGTTATTCTCCATCTCGGCCTCGATGAGGGTGACCAAGCCACTCATGTGTCTCATCATGACTGCGGCACCATCAGTGGCCACATCAATGATTGGACTTACAAGTTGGAATGAGAGCGGCAAGAAAATCGGATACTACATAAAAAATATTTGATGCTGTGTGCCGTTTGTGCAAAGGTATTGCAAGTAGGTGAAAATTGAGTAGCTTGCCGCTCGTGAAAAAGCGTCAGCGAATAACAACGTATGATTTTTCTTGATGAGTCGTACAGTTCATTGCCAATGACATTGCCCAGGATGTGCTGATAAGGCATGCCAGGCGCTCTAGCGATGTAGCGTAAACTATTCGCGCGTACCGCGCGGTAACTGCATCCATACAACCGGTCAAACGACTAATTCCAGTCTCGTTCTTAGTGTCGTCCATTAGAAATGTTGCCATCCGAAATACACTTGACGCACAGGCGAAAGCAAAAATGGTGATTCTTTTCTATATGATACCGATCATTTTGCAGTTTGAACCTGGCGAGAGCACGAGCATGCATTTGACCTTCGATATCTTCTAGATGAAAAAGCAAATTGCCAATAATTGAGTCGATAATGGACGCTCGGATAGATAATTTGATTAACAGCTGTGCTCTCGCATGATATTGTGAAATATACAGGTGCATTGTGTTTTTGATGTGCTGTCGGCGGCCGGAGTCGGTACCGCAACATTACTACAACATGACGATTTATCTTTTTAGAACAACACAATGGCGTTTTGTGTTGCTGGGTAAGTTATTGCAAGTTATATTACGCTAAAAATCTCAAAAGCGGAAATGTAAATTTTACAGTGTCTATTAAGTACGAGATTCAATAAGTACGAGTTGTACAGACCTTTCATTTCCAAGAAGGGGGGGAAAGCAAGATGCCGAAGCAGCAAGCGCGCCGAGATGCGCAGAGCACAGGTAAGACACGGGGGACATAGTGACAGGCAGCCTGCAGCACGTTGTCCTAATCTACAACGCTGTGTTCTATCATGTATAGGGCGCTGTCTACGGGCAAGACCGCATGTCGACTACCTACTTGGTGGACGCGGATTTATACACGATTCCAGTAGCGACGAAGACTACGTCGATGACCCTCTGGTTACGGCTGAGGATATCGCAAATGAGGATGCAGACATGGAGGGCCTGGAGAACGAAGCCTGCCATGATGCGCGCAAGGTCGATACGTTACCGGGTGGGAAGGATACGGGCGCTGGGGCGGGCGAGAACGACAGCGCTTCCGGGGAGAAGAGCGTTGCGGCGGGCGAGAAGGATGTGGCTGCCGGTGAGAACGACGACGCCGCCAGTGTTGCGGCGGGCGAGAAGGATGTGGCCACCGGTAAGAACGACGACGCCACCAGTGCTGCGGCGGGCGAGAAGGATGACGCTGCGCGCGAGAAGGCAGTGGCTGCCGACGCCAAAGCCACCGCCGCGGAGCTGGGTGAGAACAACGCGTTGGCCGATACAGGTATATATCCCGGTCGATTTCTTATGTTGCTGATACATTACTTGTGTTGCTTACTATGTTGCTTACTATGTTGCTTTGAATGTTGTTTTCAATGGTTACAAAACTAAAGACTATGCACGCGCATTTGTTGATGCCGCCCGGACCAATGCCATCGAAGAAAGTCGCAAACGGAAGCAGCTGTCCGTGCCGTACAGCCGCAAATCCTGCTATGGTGCCTTTGAGACGAACGAAAGCGAAGATCCCTCACCAAAGCGACCAAAACCTGGCACAAAGAGCCTGGGATCAACTGAGGCTCATTTCACGGCGTCGGCGAAGAGGAAAGTTGTACAAAAACGTACGACAGTCGTGAAAAGATGATGAAGACACATCAGGCAGTCGAAAACGCCAAATCACCACTTCCAGTGGGGGGTACATTGCCTCCCGCAGCTAGTAGACCGTGTTCAGCTTGCTCCATGTCACGAATCATTGTCATTGTGTCGATGAGATCAGCTGGATCAATGTCAGATCCTGTATCACTCTCGTTAGCATCACCAAGAGCCGCAGTATCGTCCATCGTGCCAGCGATTTGGTCGAGGGCTAGAAAATCAATTACAGGCATTCCTCTGCCTGTAGCAGTTGTAACAACAAGACTCCCTGTAGCATATACACGAGTATGATATCAGACCTCACTTCAAGAAAAATATAATTATCGACGTTACCCAGATGATATCCCAAATTATTGGTCCCATGTGTCCAGTCCATGACTAGCGTGTCACCCCACTGTGCACAACACTTTTTCTGAATGCACGTTTGCATCGCAATCACACAAGTGATATCCATTTGGTCCTGAACTAATAGGACGTCATTGCCGGCACTCCCGTCAGCAAAATAATCGAGAATAGTTTTGGTGCGCTCGAGGGTTGTCGTGCCCAATACTTGACGGAGCCGATTTCTCGTTTGTTGTGGTGCTAAAACCATATCTGGATATCATCAACGAAACAAAAAGGAGAGTGATTATGAAATAAGTTAGCAAAACTGAATAAAAAAATAGATACTGCTACAGCCAAATTCACCAGCGACACCCACCAAGCTGATTCGAAAGATATCGGTTGATATCAAAAGTGCTCGTTTTCATTTCTGTCAGAAGCCCAACCTCCCTGTGCACCTGGGGTCGGACCGACAACGACTTGGCCCCGCGATAGGAATCGTAGATATTCTTGCTTGTCTTGTGATTGTGGGTGGAGATCTAAGCAAATCATAGTTGTTAAGAAACGTTAAAGAAAATGCATAATAATATCCATACCTCCGAGTCCGGATCCACAGTCACCTTCCATTTAGTAACCCCTTTTTCGACTACGTTGACAGTTCGCACCAAGAAACTTGCCATGCATCCCGTGTATCGCAGGTCACAACCACGCCGTCCATCACCACGAGCCGACTGTGTTGCGCCATGAGTGCACCAAATTCGTTTAAAACTGTGGGAAAACCGCTCGGGAATAATCTTTGCCCTAGGGTGACTTGATTAAGCAACACAACAAGCAACACACACAAATAACATAGCAAACAACATAAAAAATCAACAATGTTAGCAACAGCGCACGCTGTTCATATGCCAACAGAATACGGACCTGTTGCACTTGGCACGGGTTTCAGAGCTTCGAACGTGATAGTGCAGAAAATTTTCAGCCTCGTAAGAGCGAAGGGCCTCTTGAAAAGTCTCCCAACTGTCAAACGTCCTCATGACCACGAGCGACAACATTTCGTGAAGTCGGATTCCAAAACAAGCACCACAAGCCGTAAATCAACCAGCACAAGCTGCAACACCAAGCTCCTAACTTTGACGCAAACGTATGAGACAAAACTGGATTAGTCTGAGTCGGGGTCTACGCCGCTTAAGCAAAAAGTGCTACTGACAAAGGAAATTGTACAAACAAAGGCAAAGGCTGTTTCAAAACCACCTGCGCGAAAAAACGACAAGATTGAAGTACTTCAGCTACCCAAAGCTAAGCCCCGGCACAATCAACGAAAGAATGTGAAACAGGCGCGGATAAAAGCGGAGGCGAAGACTAGCAGCTATTACACCTTCAGACAAAAGCGCACCAGTAATTTCGCGAGTACTCGAGTGGGCAAACAATACAAATGACGTCGAGTACGTCCGATCAATTCTGGCAACTTACCTTACTGCCATGACGGACGGCTTCATCGGCGCACAGGCTGTGCGCAGTCAACGAGCCTACGTGCGAACAGAACAGTTCGACTACAACTTCGTTGTGCCCAAGCACCTGATGACAAAGCTGAGTGCAGTTATACAAGAAGAGAAGAACAAACGATCCAAACCCAAATATTTCGCCAATACTTCCGACTCGGAGCACTCGAAAGGAACGACTAAGGAGATCGTAGCTTTCTTCTCGGGCGGAACTCCGAAGTTCACCAGGCTCGTACTTCGCAATGCTGCTCATCAGGCTGTGTTGTTTCTTGTGTTGCTAACACTTTTGTGTTGTTTCTTGTGCTGCTCACGTTTTTGTGTTGTTTCTTGTGTTGCACCCTTTGGATTGTATGTCTAGCGGGGCTGTGTACCGAATGAAAGAGTTCTACAACATTTGTGCAAAATGCACTGCATGGTACTCAGATGTGGAATGGCCTCTATCAACTAAGTGGGGAACGATGCTCGATACGCCACTGTTGTTTGACGAAGAGACTGATTCGGAAGTATTATTCCCTTCCGCAGCGGGCGAGAAACACAAATATTTGGCGAACGAAGCGGCAAATATTCTGCGCGGATCTTGCCTTAACTCGGAGTTTAGGCTTACGAGTGCTGCGTGCTCTATCAGGGTGGACAATATGGTGGGAAGCCTGGCCCGGACTCGAATGTTAAACGACCTCGTGATTGACTGTACTATTCGCTGCATCTGTGGTGTGCTTGGCGACTGCTACGCGCTGAGTTCGTTCGCTCCGACGATGGGATGCCCAAGCCCTCCGAAGACACGAATATCGTCATTCCATTATGTGGTGTTGCCAGCTCACCTAAACGGAAATCACTGGGGCGTCATCATTGTTAGACTGGTCTATCAGCTGGAAACGCCCAGCATCACACCGTACTATTACGAACCTTTGCGTGGGACGGAATTTCTAGCAACAATGGAAGTCATTTTCCAGGACACAATGGCTAAATTTTTACGGAACTGGCATCATGAGACCATGCAAGCTACTGATTTTCCTGTCGTCGAAAATGGCGTGTGGCTTAATGCGCCAACACAGCCAGATGGATCTTCATGCGGGGTGTTGTGTATCGCCCAAACATATGCAGTACTCAACGATAGCACCGCTTTTGCTAACGCAACCGTCACACAAGACGATGTCGCCATCATGCGACTGCGTATCATGTGGATAATTTTGATGCAACCAGAGGTGACTATGAGGTCAAATAAGCGAGCGAAAGCGGTAGAAGCGACCGGTCAGGAACTGTTCTCAGCGTTTAAAATATATTATGCATTCGTTTGTCTTAAACTTTGCTACGTAAACCTCCTTATGCCTCCTTTATCGCTTTTGTAATTCATTTACAAAGCCTGATCCAGCAAAATACTGCAGCACTCCTCGAGCGCCACAGCATACGATACAACGTATCCGACGTCGTGAGCAGAAGCCCCGGTTGCAGCTGCTAGACGCATTGTATCTTGCTTTTCGCGTGCGAGTATAACAGCAATCTCCTCATAGAGATCCATCAGCTTTAGCGAAAACTCGGAAAGTCGCTCGAGCTTCTCCCCCAGTAACTCGATTTGCTGCAGTCGAGACCGCAGCAGCTCCTTGCACATCCCCTCCTTGTGGCGAGGATTGCGTCGGGGGACCCCGTCGCCAGTTGAATGCGTCCGGTCGGTGCTAGCTGAATCGTTCATGGAGCCCAAGTTGGCCTGGTAGGTGCAAGTCTTTTTTTTCTAATGATGAATGAGCACTTATAATGTAAATTTTGTGAATCAGCGGAGTGGTAACTTTGACAATAACGGTAATCTATCAGACCCCCGATAATAGTTTACCGAGCTGTGTTACTTTGACACATTTTTTATGTTGTTCCTTGTGTCATAAGGGGCGGATGTGTTGCCGTAAGAGCTGTCGTCTTGTCGCCGCTGTGTTGCGGTAACGTCGTTCGTCGGCGGCAGCTAGATTCCATAAAAAAAGTATTAAAAATAAATATAGTACATGTACAGCTCGTCTTCTTTGATTTCGAATCATTTACCAGCCAATCATCTTTCAAAACGAATTAATTTTTTTTTGCCCAGTCCGTGCGTACCTTCTCGAACCTGCGATCCAATATCTGCTTCAAGCCCCCACAGGTGAAGAAGACAGTCAGCAAGAAACAAGAGATATGACAACCAAAGTGAGCGTCAAGTGGGGCAAGCAAGTGTTCCAGGACGTGGTGGTGGACAAGTCCGCACCCGTGGCCGTGCTCAAGGCGCAGCTCTACACGCTCACGTCTGTTCCCGTAGAGCGCCAGAAGCTCATGTCTAAAGCGTGGAAAGGGATGCTAAAGGACGACGTGGACCTCGCAACACTGGATAAACTGGTCGACGGCACGGGCATCATGCTCATGGGCTCAGCTGAGGTAGTGCAGAAGCCCAAGGAGCCCATCATCTTCATTGAGGACATGACTACGAAGGATATTGCAGCCACAGGCACCGTGTACCCCGCAGGTCTCGTAAATTTGGGCAATACGTGCTACATGAACGCCACGCTGCAGTGTCTGCGACCCGTCAAAGAGCTACGAGAGGCGCTGAAGGCCCAACCTGGCGGTGTATCGGCTGATCTGACCAATAACTTCACTTCTGCACTCAAGGACATGTACGGTCAGCTCGATGGCAGCTTGGACAGCATCACCCCGTCCATGTTTGTGTCTGTACTGCGTCGCGCGTACCCTCAATTCGCTCAGCAGGCGCCTCGCAGTGGTGGATACATGCAGCAGGACAGTGAAGAGTTCCTGTCCACGTTGTTCTCAACGCTACAGCAGACGCTGACGCAACCTGCGGGTGGCCTGAAGACTCTCGGACCTGTGAACAATGTGGTGGACGCTTTGTTTGGACTGGAAATGGACGAGAAGCTTGAGTGCACCGAAACTGACATGGAACCGGCAGTGGTGAAGAAGGAGAAGGCGCTTAAACTCGTGTGCAACATCACGATTGAGACCAACCACTTGTCCGAAGGCATCAAGATTGTACGTTTGGCTAGAATATTGAGGGTAATTGCAGTCTGAGTGTTAATTATTGATGGTTTTTGGCTGGCGACAGGGACTAGAAGGCACGATTGAGAAGCACTCGGAAGTGAAGGGTGGCAATGCGGTGTGGAAGAAGACGATGCGGATAAATCGCCTGCCCAAGTACTTGTGCGTGCAGTTTATGCGCTTCTACTGGAAGGCGACACCCGAGAGTCGTGACCATGCTGGTGTCAAGTGCAAAATGCTGCGGGTAAGTGGCGTTTTGTTTAAAATATTAAATTTGAAAGTGCTAATGGAGATGTTGTGTCTTGGATGTCCAGCCTATCAGTTTCCCTCTCACTCTTGATGTCTACGACTTTTGCTCCGACGAGTTGAAGGCGACTATGAAGATCTCTCGTGACCGAAATGCAGAGAAGATCCTCAACGAGTTCAAGGACGTACGTGTGTAATATTTATCTAGTTTTTGAGAGCTCATAACTTATCTATAAGGTGTGGTTTTTGCTTAAATAGAAGTCTGCAGGTGAGAAGAAGGAGGACGAGGCTGAAGAGAAGAAGGAAGCCGATGAGGATGATGCTATGGACGGTCTGTCAGAGGAGGACAAGGCTGCTCTTGAGACTGCACGCGCACTGTCCATGGGAGCCAAGTCTCCTGGAATTGATCTCCCCATCGATTTCCAAGTACGTCGAAAGATCTCTTCGCTTCGATGCCGTTTAAGGCTATCTTTACGCTTACCATCTTGCTATTGCAGGGAAACTACGAGCTGTTCGCAATTCTGACGCATAAGGGGCGATCAGCCGACTCTGGCCACTACATGGCTTGGGTGCGCCACGAAGGAGGTACGCACACCGAGATTGCACTATCCATGTCGTGCAGGTTTTGGCTAATGATAACGTGGTCCTGTGTATTGACAGATGACTGGTATTGCTACGATGACGACGATGTGTCGCCATGCAAAACGGAGGACATCATGAAGCTTAAGGGCGGAGGTGACTGGCACATGGCGTACCTTGCTTTCTACCGTGCCAAGAACTAGGATTGGATCCTGTCATCACGCCGACACCAAACCACCAGGTAGCGGGGTAGAGATGAAAAAAAAGTGTTCTTGCCTGAATGAAACACCTTTTTCTTAACTGCCTTTGCAGCTTGAGCAATACTTAACGGAACGACGCAGATGGTTGATAATAATGCAGTCTCTTTTTACAATTCGAGTGCACAGCGCAAAATGCAAAATAACAAAATGAAGGAAGCTCAAGAGGAGCCCGCGCACTTGAGATCCGTGACGTTGTCTACGGCCGCCGACGAACAGCAGCTCATTCACGGTTGCGTTCGCCAGTCCCCTCGATCCTTTCCTCGTTCTTCTTACATCTGAATGCCCTCCGATCGCTGACCAGAGGACGGAGACAAGTCCACTTTCCGGGGCTCAATATCGCTCTTGACCGAGTCCGACATGTAGTCATCATCGTCATCTTCGTAAGTGTATTCAGTGGACTTGTCGGCCAGTGTCAGTGCATCTAGACGCGGGGGAGAGACCTGCGACGAAGACTCGGAAGTCATTGACGTGGCTCCCGTAGATTTGCGGCGGATTCCCGACGGCGATGGAAGGGGTGTCACGCAAGGAGACTCAGACACAGGACTGGCGGGGCCAGGAGAACCAATGACGTCTCCGCTGGCGCTGGTGGGCGACATGTCTGACTCTGTGTCTTCATCCTTAAGATCTTCGTTGAGAGCGAAGGGAGACTTCTGGTCCTTGTCCGTAGCCACCCAAATACGGATGGTCTCCATACGGCGCTGTACACCGGGCAAGTCCATGTCTCCAGCATCCTAATTTAGACGGTAAAAATCAGTCAGATCTTCAACGAAACCTTCAAGAATAAGTAAGAAAAACTCAGAACTTACCGGACAAAACCACTCCATGCACACCTCCAGGTCCGTGCGATCAGCCAATACGGGGGTGAGCAACTGCACCAGAGTGCCGCGCGTATCCGTGTCGAGATGCGGGATCTCGATACCGCGCACTTCAAGTGTGTTGATGGGTTGGCCCAGCACGACGGCCGTGATCCACTTGGCCAGGAAGTTAAACTTGTCGACCTGTCCGCGGCACACGGTCTTTAACAGGACAGTGAAGACCTCCTCGGGCACCTTGTTCTTCGACACTTCCATGACCTTGCGGAGAGCAAAGTCCTCGCGCACGTCGACTAGTAGCTTCGAATCTTCGAAGCCGTGGATGCCCAGCTGGTAGCAGCCCTCGCATAGGTGGTAGTTGACGCACTTGGAGCACGAGTACATGTTCCCCACGATGGGGTCCATGCCACAGCCGTCACAGAACGAATCCTCGTTCACATGGGACGCAGGGAACTTCATCTGCGCCACTTTCTGGCCAATGAAGCGCGTGGCAGCTGACATTTTGCTGCCGATACTGTTGGAACGGACTTGCGACTCAGTTGGGAAGCCGATAAGAGACGTGGTGCTGTCGCGCTCCATGCTGAGCGGCTCTGACATGAGCCAGAAGCGCTTAGCGTTCTTCTGGATCTTGCGCTCGCCGTGGATCACGCGCTGGCGCTCACCTTCGAACATTGTCTGCTGAGGACCGAAGAACAAGTGCTGGTCCACGTGCTTGGCCTCTTCGAGGAGCTGTGCGTTCAAGTTGCTGGCGCTCACCACAGAGGGGCGAATGGCAGGCGCATTGTCGCTGCCGTCAGATGGCACGCTGCGCCGCAGCACGTTGGGGAGCGAGAAGAGCGACATCGAGAAGGAGTGTCTGCGGTCCAAGCGAGTCGTCACGCGGAGAATGGCTTAATGCCCCGGTACGAGTGGGGGAGCGTCGCACAAGATGATTTGAACACTTGGAAACTGAGATAGTTGATAAGGATGGTTATACATCCTCTTTATTGTGATTTTACGCGTAAGTTATATTTTTTTGAGTGTGAAGTAAAGATAATCTGCCATCATCTCTTTAAACTTGTGTTTCAAATATTTGTAAAATCAATAATATGCAGAATAAAAGGTTTTTAACTGCGTGTTTTTCTCCGTGTGGTTTCAACATCAGAGAAGAGGGCAGGTATAGGCGTGATTTCCAAATACCAGGATGCGACTCCTAAAAACGGGAGAATCACACCTTACACAGAATAAGAAATCGAGATCCAGTTCGCTCACACTTACTCAGCTCCATACTAAATATCCCACAAATTTTTATTCTTTATTTACCCCGATTAGCGGTTTTAGGCGTGATGAGCCTTTCGCCTCATTGTATTAAGACGAGCCCACGCGACAAGTGGCTACCCAACAAGCAGCACGTTGAGTGTGCCCTGCAACTCGACGCGCGTGAGAAAACTCCATGCGTGCTTCGGTTGCTGGGGTCGAGAGCTCCAGCGAAGTCAAGGTCTCTAATGTCCAGCGGTGCTGAACGTCGATCAGAATTGGTTACAGAACACGTCAGTCCGTTACACACACCGCCTGTCCTGAATCTTAGAGAGGCACTTGCGCGGTGCCGCGGTTATTGCTCTAGTAGTACGCGTCACGCTGCCGCTCAAAGTAGGGGGCCACGAGGGTGAGAAGCAGGGTAACGAACTACAGGTATAACGGACCCCATAGAAAACGTAGTCACGAAACCACAGAGCGCACATTAGTCGCAGTCATCGAAAAAGAAGTCGATCCTGTCGGACCAGAATCAGAAGCAAAACCACGTCACGAACCTGCACATAGCCGATAGTCTGGAAGTCCTCGATGGCAGCAATTGGCGTCTGCAGTAGCCCCACGATACCCCCAATGCAGAACGCGATACCCGACAACGCTCCGTAGTGTTGGAAGCCAAAGCGGTGTCCCAAGTACGCGAACAACAGAGGGAACATGATGGTCCGGAAGAACGCGTAAGCCACGAAGCCTGCCACTATCCACCCACTCGACATGCTACTAAGCAGCACGGTGAAACACAGAGCCACCACCGTGCACAGCACCGACGAGTACGTATATCCGCATTTCTCTAACAGGTATCCTACGAAAGGGATGAAGATCACGCTGCTTGGTAGGACAAAGGCTAACTTAGCCAGCAAGCTGGCCACTTCGCTCTCTGGTAACCCCTTCCAACGCAACAGTCCAGTGATACTGCCCAGGAAGAAGTTGCACCAGAGCGACAGGATGGAGAAGTAGAACACCACGAGTAAGAACGGTTTGGACAAAACTTGCGTTCGAAACGAGCGGTTGTGCAGATCTCCGTCGAAGAAAACCTCGTCGGTCGGCAAGCGGTGACGTCTGCGGTATTTGTCCAGCTCGGGTGTCGATAGCAGGAGCGAGGTCTCTTCTTCCTTGAACACGGACGGCAGACGCATGGGAGAGAGCAGTTCGTGTTCTTCGCTTGGAACCACCTCGAACGGTGTGTCCGGCTCCGTTAGCAACGTACCAACGAGCGAGAGGAATACTACTCCCGCATAGACCTCTAAAACTGCAGCCATAGACATCCCGACATGCACGTACGCGAGATCAAACAGGGTGAAGATCAAGAAGCTCAGCTGAAGACCTCCAACAATGAAACACGCAACGAGTGCCGTTGCCTCGGGGAACAAATTGGACATGTGAATACCAGAGAGCTGGACTCCTGGACCAGAGAACCCGACAAGCACCATTCCGTAGAGCAACAAGTTGTGTCCTTCTGAGTTTTCCCTGGTGATACAGTCACAAATGAGACGCATAACCATCGAAATTAACAGAAATAAGAGCTTGTCACCTATAACGCGCATTTCCCATGAGCAACGCGCCTGTTATCAACAGCACCAACGAAATTGATTTCGTTACTCGGGGTCCGAATCTGCACGTGCAATTATTATCAGTCGTACAGTTCGCAGCATGGCTACGATCTTAATAAGTTACCTGTCAAATACAAGGCCGAGCAGAAGATTGGACCACATGCTGCTGGAGACTGCCATCGTGAATGCATACTGGAGACGATCGCTTTGCGCCGTGCAAACTGGCACACAATAAGAACTCATTCAGAAGGCAGTTCATTTTATACTATCAACCCGACGGACGTACTTGTTTCTCCATTCTTGCACAACTCGTTATATATTCTCTCTTTCTCCAGCATGGGCACCAGTGATGTCCTGAATAGCAACCACCGCGCAAATACGTCAGCGACCAGGCAGCACAAGTCGCCACAAAACAGAATGCTGTCACTACCAGCCGAAGATGATTCCAGCGCCCAGAAAACACTGGAAAATAGCAAACGCCACGTAGAGATAGCGGTGCGGGTAGCTTCCCGTGTCCATCCACGTCGTCTCGGCCACCAGCATCCTCTCTCTACCTTGATACTCGAGCGATGAATTGAAATCCGTCCTGAGCTGATTATCTGATGTTCGATTTACACCAAACAGCTGTTCGTGATGATGGCCCGTCATTCGCAAAAGCTCAGGTTGCATATACACCTTGTATCATACAAGTAGCAGTTTGTATGATAGTCTAGATTGCAGCTTGCAATCTAGAGTCTAGAGTCTAGACTCTAGATTGACTATCGTACAAACTTCCTACAATTCATGTACTCCAAGACCATTACCGGTAATTTGGTGGCACCAATGACTTTGACCAGCGCACGTGAGACTCGTGCAGCGACGCTCGTCGAGTGGTGCAAGCGCCTCGATGACATGCACAAGATCGACGTTACTTTCAGTACTAGAAGGGAATTGATTGTTCATCTGCTTGGCGCTGACCACCGCGAGGGTAATACTGGAGCTGAGACCTTCGACGTGTTCCGGAGCTTTACACAGTACTTGGCCAAAGAGACGCACCTGACGTCACTCAAGTTGGTGCTGGTTGGACCCAATCTATCCAGAAAGCTGCACCTTACTCGATTTTCGCAGGAGTACAGCGAGATGGAGAAGACGTGCCAAGTACAAGTAGACATCAGCTACTTCGTGGGTGGGTTTGAGGCGTATTTCGAGGACAAGGCGCTGTATTGCCAACCGGACCTCGTCGTGTGCTTCAACGCTGGCATCTGGGGATACGATGAGTGGATTCCAGCCATTAAACTAGTGCTGAATGAGGTGCGCGTGCCACTTCTAGTCACGTCGTACAACGAACAAGAAGCTGGAGACGACGAGGACGTGCTGGACGAACTGATGCCGCTTCGATGGCTTTGGCGGTCTGAGAAGAACCCGCGTGGGGCCTGCACACCACGCACGACGAACAACAAAGATGGGTCCATTCTCAAAGAGAACGACTACTGGATGTGTCTGAGCGGTAGGCAACAGTGAAGAAGGCGGATGTTTATGAGGAGATCTATCGTCGATATTCAAGTCAAGGGATTCCCAATACGCATATGCGCTCAAAAGGTGACCTTCCTGTGTATTTCTTTGATGCTACGTCCGTTGCAGGCCCGGCGTTGATGTGACGAATGTCTCAATTAGCCTTCAAGTAACAGCTCGACAGGGACTCCACACGGGGCATTGCCCATTAGACGACGCAGCCGCAACGCACCTTGTAGCTCGCACACCTGCGGGAGAAACGCCTTGTGCTCCCCGGCAACTTGATCCCAAGTCTTAGTTGGAAGTACGAGCGTGCAAAAAGTGCCTGAAGCGTGACGCATGCGGATATTTTTCACCATTTCATCACTAGTTTTGCCACCACCATGCGCTGTGGACTCGCGCTTGGCTCCAAAGGTCAAAACCGTTGCATCCTGGAAGCTTTCCTGTACGTAGTCTTCACCTTGAGCTCCTGGAGCAGGTAATGGAGGCGATCGGGGCACTGGGATATGCAAAAACTGTTCTTTCTCCTTGCTTGTTGCAATTTCAGAAAACAAGACACCGAAATTTAGTGGCTCTGGCGGATTTTTCGATGACGAAAACGCGTTTGGCGCTGCTGCATGCTCTTCATCTTCCACAGTAGCGAGAGGAGGGCAGTCCATACACAACAACTGGCAGTTCTTGGGCACTGATGGATCGTTGCGCAGCGATATGTGAACGTTGCTAGGGTCTGCAATCTGGAAGGCATTTAAGAGGTCGTCTAACGTCGCTAGCACCTTGACTCTAATTTGGCTCATGTATTCCGCCACCTCCACCATAAACCGCTGCGCTTTTGTAGCCTCCGCGTCATCAGATTCGTGTTTCTGCTTCTTGTGCGCCTCCTCTTCTTCCGAGTCCGAGTCACTGTCATTAATTGGCAACGCCATGGGATTTTTCTTTATCAGCGTTGGAAAGCAGGCTCTTACTCCTTGTAAGAAGTTCACAGCTATTTCGCCCACATCAAGTACTTGTACACTGGGAGTTTGAGTTTCTTGCGCTTGAGCCAACGGCACCACCAGAAGACGACGCTTCCCGTCACGCTTGACACGTCCGCCGAGACACGTAAGCTGACGAGACCTCTGCATGCGCCCAGCCACCACCACATACTCGTCAAAAGGCAGCTCACTCTTTGTGGCAACGTCCACAAGTGCTAGAGTCCCGCCATCAACGGCTTCAAACACGAACATTCTTGTTGAAATAGTGAAAAAGTGATTATGCCGAAAAAACGATCACGCAGCAGTTTACGCAACGAAAAAAGCAACTGAAAAAAGCAAAAACTCAAAAAAATAGTAAATTTGCCAGACCTGTCTATCGTACGTGCATGGCATCACTTGACACCTTCCCTGTTGCAATATAAGCTCGACACTCCGCCGTTTGCCTAAATATGAATGTCGGCTGGTAGGACCGACGGCTTGAGGATTTCTTCGACCAAAAAGTCCAGTGGGAACTCCACAAGATGACCACGGATCTCCGAGAGTTGGCCACGAGCACGCGTCTCGTCCTCCTTGCGGACTGTGGCTGCAGTCTGCACGTGGCCGATCTGGCACTCGGCATCTTCATCGTCGGATCCTTCCACAGCTTCTTCAGTTAGAAGACCTTCACGAGTCGCAGCGTGATAGCTACCCCTGCCGTCTTCCAGAAGCGGGTCGTCGCTGTGCAAGTGGTCCTCATCTGTATCAAAGTACTCGGCGTTGAACTTGGAGCGCCGACCGAAGTCCAGTACGTCCATCGTGGAATACCATCGCTTAAGTGACGCACGAATACCATGGCCGCCTCCGTACTCGCTACCAGCATCACTGGACTCGTCATCTGTATCGAGATTTCGATTGCCTGTAACACTGAACATGCCGTAAAAGCTGCCTCGCGCGCTTCGAGTATTACCGCGAGTCCTGACACCGGCACCAGTGCCCAAGAGAGACGACGTGCGAGCGCTGCGTACACTACGTGCTCCAGTTGCAATGGCCGGACTTTGAGGCGTATGCTGGAAGCTTGCAACACTGGGTGAGTTCGGGTAAGACGGCGCATCGCCAAGCACAGGAGGTCGCATGGTCGGGTTATCGCCCAGGATTGACGCGTTCGAAGGCATCGAGTTCGAATTGTACAGACGACGACCGTGATTCGTGCCTCCAACGCTCACGCTGCCAGAAATGCCACCGTCCGTGTCCAATTGACTGAAATTTGTCGGCGTACTGACCGAGTTGGAGCGGCTGAAATCGCCCTGCTGCAATCTTCGCCACAGTGAGTAGAAGCGTCCGTGCTCCTCGTCGTCACTGGCAAGACTGAACGAGCTTTCACGAGGATCTCGAGGCGGTAGCAAGCCCTTCTTGACCCACCGACGTCGACGCACTTGAGCCATCAAACGATCCGCTACGAGATGCTGGAGCTTCTCTCGCTTCTTGTAGTCCGTCTTCATTGTGCGTACCTCCTGGAAAATGGAGAAGTTACGCGCATAACACCAGCCATCGTGATCCATAGAGAAGAGTTTCTTCTTCTTGTCTCTGTAGTTGTCCACCTCGAAATCTCTCAGATCCACTCGATCGGCCGCAATGGGCACACCGTTGACGTCAGTCCATGGCGCATAGTCTCCGTCTTTCAGGTTCTGAGCATCCCACACATGAGATCGCCCGGGGACCTTAAGCACATTCATACGTTGGTTCTCAAAGATTTGCGTCACTTCGATACTCTGAAAGTTGACAAACGCACGCATACGGTTGGAAGGTGCACAGTCGAACACGGCCTCGAAGATCTTGGTGTTGCTTGAGGCAGTTGACTTGATGGCCTGCCAAGTGTGATCCGACGTAGGGTCCGCCACAGAGAGATCATCATCAGCCAGACCGAGGTGCTCGCGGAAGAGCTGTAAGCGAAGCTTGCTGGCCGCCACACCTCGTCGATAAGGCTTCTCATTCATCACACCGTCTTCATACTGCATGTCCTCAATCACCAGGGCAATTTCCGAGTCGCGATCACCGTTCATACTACGGTCATTGATGTTCGCACTGCCGAGGATGGCACATCGATCGTCAGCGATCATGAGCTTACTGTGAATGTAGATCTGCTCAGTGGCTGCACAACCGTTCGGCATAATGCCGTACTTGCGCAATCCAAAGAAAGCTACGTAGTTCTCAGGGTGGTTTGTCACGCCCTTCAGCGCCTCGAATAAGCTGTACCGCCCACGACAAATAGTTGCAAACTGCCAATGCATTACCGCGTGAAGGTTTGTGAGCTCGTGACTACGAATGTTGCCCTCAAAAGCTGGTAGCAGTGGCATCACCACATACACTCGGAACTTCTCGTCACGCTGGACAGCACGTTCGATACGATCCACTAAGGCTTGCAAGATCCGATTGCGTACGATTCCGTTGCCGTCCATTCCTGACACGAAGAACTGGTTCTCGATATACAAGAAGTGCTTCGAATTGGCGATCACATCCATGTAGGCCGCTTGAATACTAGCCTCAGTAGGCACACCCGCTGACCACATGGACACTGAGCGACATACCTGAATGTTGCAAATGTTGGCACTTGGGTGGAACACTTGCAGAATCGACTCGCCACGCTGAGCACGCAGCACCTCACCGTCGTCTAGCGGACCCGTAGTGGTCGAAGCACTCGTGAGGGGTGGCCGCATCGGGTTGATTGGGTGCAACGAAGAGGTTGGCGGCCATTGAGGACCCGTTGCAGTGCACGGATACATAGGGTTTACAGACTGCACCACTTGGAAAGGCTCGACCATACTCAACGAGTCCTCACGAACAAGAGGGATAGTTGTCCGTGTAGAGCCATCGCGCATAGGTTCAGGGTCTGACGACGGGTACTGTAGCGTCCATCCGTTAAAGTCCATGGGCACCAGACACTTCGGGAGGAATTTAAACCGTCGAGAGCGAAAGCAGATGCACCAGCCAGTACGCAGCTGGTAGTCATTCTTGGAGCACACAAAGTTCCATCGCTGAATGAGGTGATACGCCACGTCCTGCACTGGCGGTCCCGAAATACTGCAGTGTACGTCATGCCAAGGCATTCGCGGCTGCGAAGCGCGATCAATGAGGTCCTCGAATGGCTTGTTGACACGCACAAAGTCCTTAATAATCGGATTCGAGTAGTCCTTGCCTGTCCAGACCGGGTCGTCACTAGGGTCACTAATCGGGTGACCGTGGTGGTCATATCGACCGAAGCACAAGTCCAGTCCACCCACGAACGCCAGAGACTGATCGATGCAGACAATTTTCTCGTGGTGAGACCAGAATCCGAGACTTTGGATCTGGAAAATGGGGTCACGAAGAACTCGAATGTTCGGATGCACCATTAGACTGCGCTTTGTGTATGCGCTGTTCAGCGTAAGAGCCAGCTTGACCTCTCGATAAATCAAAACGTAGATCTTGACGCCAGCCTCCGCTTTCTTCATCAACACTTGGCGTAGCATCGTCTTGTTCACTTGTTGTCCGTCAGGATCCTCGTCAGCTTCGCGAGGCGGAAGCTTTCGGCCTGGACGCAGCAAAAACAGATCCGGACACACCCACCAGCCAGCAATTAGGATCTCGTACTTTGCGTTCGAGATGGCCTTGTACATAGCCGCATACGTATCTTCTGCATCCACATGCCAGCTCACAGAGCTAGGAGGAGGCTTTGGGGCTTCAAATGAGTCTTCAGACTGCGTACTGCTGTCAACACGACTAGAGGCAGGTGCCAGATTCCCCGTGCCCATGCGAGAGGCCGTCTCCGCTTCCTGCTTGACCACCGAATCCACGACCTGATTGATGTTGCTGGTGGGCGTATTTCCGATAGCAAGCTTAGCCGCCTTCGCCTTAGCAGTGATCGTTGCACTCTCGTCGTCGTCAATAGTGCTGATATGTTGAGGTGCGAACGAATTAAACCGCGTTGATGTTTCCTGGCGCTTCAGCTTCTGCAGACGGCGCACACATCGGAACCAATGGTCTCGACGCACATGAGGGTGCCAAATGCCAAGATACGTAACGAAATAGTTGGCCAGGAAGCCAACAACAGGCGCGATGATGCCTCCAGCAAACAGGAACAGAATGTAGTAGACGTACGACCGCCACGTGAGAGGAGCGATTCGCACAGTAATCGCACAGAAACTTTCGACATTGCTGAAGCTCTGTACGTCGATATCTGTCTTCACACCTTCCAGCGTCAAGTTCCCCACGGTCGGCATCGAGTAATTCGTACCAGACTCGAAGAATCGATCGTTCTTCGCATCGATTGGCTTCACTACACTCACCATCGTGCCTGCCCCCACTGCATTCGTGATTACGTTCAAGCTGTAGCCCATACTGTCACTTTGCCAGAAAAAGCCGAGGTTTGCCGTCATCGAATTCGACGATGGCATCTGCAGCTGCGAGATCACAGCGCTGTCGTCTTTACTCTCCACGTACACGGTCGTGCCTTTGGGTACAATGAAGTAGTATCCACAATACTCAGCGTCACGACTCTCAGTCCAGTTCTCATACCCTGACGCGTTCGTAATGGGTACACCCATACTCTTGTCCAGACTCAGGTACTCGAAGTCGTAGATGCTGTTCGAGAGCCGCATGATGCCGTAGCAGACGCCCATGAGAGCAACGAACGCAGTCAGTCGAGTGTAGTAATGTCCCGTGTCGATCTCGATATCTCCCGCTTTACTACCCACGACCAACCCACTCGGCATCCAGCTCACACCTTGTCTGTAGCTTCCTTTCCTCGCTGTAAAGTTCTTGTCGAACAAGAACACCTCACTCGGCTCTCTGTCATTGCGATTCCGGTACGCCGCAAAGCACGAAGGTTTCAGCACAACCCACCGCCGAATGACACCAAGTCGATGCTGGAAGAACTTGTACACGAACACTGCAAAGAAAAGAATACCTCCCAGCACCGCTAGACCCAGGAAAACCCCCGCTGTATTCAGCTTTGTCGACACCTCCTTTGTGCCTGAATCCGAGTTCACTAGCTCCTTCTGAGGCGAGAAAAAAGTCGGCAAACTTGTCACGATCACCAGACAGATGGGGAATATAAAGCCCACGATCGCTGACACGAACGCGATACGCATCCACGCTCGATACAGATGTCGATACAGAGCTTCAATCGTGCGGTTAAAGCACGTGTACAGTGGCAACTGGAACGGTCCGTTGATGCGCATGTGCACGTAGCCCTCCTTCAGCGAAGGTCCTAGACGTAGCATAGCTCGTGACGGACTGACCTCTAGGAATGACAACAGAGGCTCCGAGTTCCTCAAGTCCCGGTCTTTGAGTAGCTGTCGGATGTAATCCTGCACGACGTACACGTCCATCACGCGTTTCTCGGCGCGTTTTTCACGCCAGATCGTACAAGGTAGATGCACTCCACGCAGGAGCTTGTGTCTGTTGAATAGACTGTACAAGTGCAGGTTGAAATGCAGACGTAGTAGTTGTTTCTGGCCGAAGTAGATCTCCCAGTCTGTGGTGCCCCAGCGTACTCTACCCACGAACACACAGCACGGAATGACGCCTGCTTTTGTGACAGTGGCTCGGTTTACGGAGAAGTCGATGGAGTTTTCCATGACTTCCTCCTCTTCCTCGCTCAGATCGGCGTCGTCGTCGTTCATGATGGTCATCCCGTCGTTCGGGGATTCGAGGATGTCGCTGTCAGCGCACTCCTGGTCGTCGACGTTCACTTCCTCAGCGTTCAGTTCGCTGGATCGATAGCTGTTTACGCTTACGACACTATCCAGACCCGAAGTGATGGAGCTCGGCGCTGCTCTGAGGCCGTAGCCGCTGTTGTTTGTTCTGGCGGCTGCGGTCGGTTCTCTTACGTCGTCGTCGGGTCCAGGCATCCCATGTAGGCGCTGAACGGACGCTACGGTGTCGACTTACGCCTACAAGAAGTCCTTTCACGCCTGATAGGCCTTTGCGGACGCTAGAGGCTGCGTAAAGCGCGGAGAACTTTGCGCAAATGACCGGGTCGACAGGCGGCCTGTTTCCTCTCGTTAAAAGCGGTTATGCCACGGGAAAACGGGCAAGCAGCGGAAGGAAGGGTCCTGTCTGTCTTGCAGATGAACGGACCGAGCCACAAGAGCGCGAACAAGGGAGAGCGGGGAGAGCGGACTCGGCGGTCGCTGGGGCCTTGCGAGGTTGACTGTTAAAATGGAGCGAAGCGATTATGCGTGAAAAACCTGTGAGACTGAGTTTACCTCACGGACACGATGCAATGACGCGTCTGAAACCTACATAAACCCATAATCGAGTCGGTTTTGCCCGGAAGATCGTCGCATAGCCGGGCAGTTGATGAGAGTTTGCAACCTTGGCCTCCATGTTGTAGCTGATATCGCCGGCAAGTAACTGACTGGCAGTATATGGATGAGTAGCCTGTCATCTCCACTTGCCACGCGATCAGAATATGCAGGCCCAGGCAATGCCTGGCAGGCATGTTGGTCGACCTCGATGCGGACCACGGACTGTAGTGGTGTGTGTTTTCTTGCACAGACTTTCGTCTGGCCGATGACCGTGGACCTGCTCGACGAGCGGCAACGTGTCGTGAAACACGCCGGGTATTGTAGCAGCCGTTTTGCGTGACGACACCGATGAAAAGTAGCGTGACTATCGGGAAAGTGGCTACGTACACAGTAATTAAAAGGGGCACTTTTTGTAACGGGGTACGTAGCACTAAGTGTACCCTGGTTACATGAAGTGTGACACTTCACACTTCAGGAGTATGACATGTCATACTCCGGGATATTTGGTACAAGGTACCAAGGTCATTCAAAACCAACCATTGGTTAAATGACATTGCATTTCTATAGGTAACTGATAGTTTGTATTAACCTCAAACTTAACCTACCTATAAATATACTCAGTTTACAATCTACCTTATTTAGGTCACTTTAATTAAAGAGGGGACCTGTGAACTGCCGTTCACTGAGAGTTTGTATACTCTCGGAAGATAACTTCCTCTAGCGCAAGGTGCTGTGTGACCCCGTCACACTTGGTAGCACTTGTAGTCAATCCACGCCATCGCGGGTAGACTACCTGAACCTCCGAAGTTCGTTGCCATGGATAGGAACGACTTCTCCCATATGAACGACTCTCAGTTCGAGTCGGTTCGGAAGATGGCAGGCATCTTCGGGATGGAGGCCCTGCAGAGCCTGGTGGTATCAACACCGGCTGAGCAGCTCGAGCGCGTCAATGCATTCGACGCGTACGAGCAGGGCCTCATCGCGCATGTGCGGGAGAACCTGCAGGCTCCGGCGGCGGAAGCAAACCCGCCTCACCCGAAGCCAATACGGCTGAAGGTAAAGCCGTATGAAGGGAAGGAAGGCGAGAACCTTCACTTCTGGGTCCGAGAAGTAGAGCTCGCGATGGACGCGGCTCTGATCTCGACCGAGCAACTGCGTGTTGCTTTTGCACTCTCCAACCTTAGCGGTCGTGCTAAGAGTTGGGTGTACACTCGGGAAGCGACATCCCCTGGATGTTTCACATCCTGGGCTCAGCTGTGCGAACAGCTCCGAGCCGCGTTCCTCCCGGCGAACTACGAGTACCGCCAGCGTTCGCGCTTCCTCGCGTGTAAACAAGGAAGACGCGAACTGCACGAGTATGTGCAAGAGATACGGGAGCTCACGGCGTCCCTAGTGGGAAACCCACTCAATGAACACATCAAGATGACTGTGTTCATGGACGGCCTTCGAGTGGGCCCCGCACGCACTCAGCTGTTCCGAGTGCAGGCAAGCACCCTTGAAGAGGCGATTCAAGTGGCTCTTCAAGAAGAATACAGCCATCGCCAGGCGCGTACGCCGGCCTCAGCGTGGCCTGGGAGTTCCTTGTCGGCTCCCGGTCGAACAAGCCCCAACGGACCAGTTCCCATGGAACTCGGGTCCGCCGAACAGCGTGACATCCGCTGCTTCGGCTGTGGGAAGATGGGCCACTTCAAGCGCGACTGTCCCGCGGAAAGACTCCGCAGACGGTCCTTCCCCAAGCCCGTCCTCAAGGGTCGCTGGCAGAAGCCAGGATCCCGGGGACAGGGGAACGCAGGGAACCAGTAGGGGCGGGGCGCCCTACTGGGGAAGAACTAAGTCTTCGTGATGGGTGCGCGGGTGGCGCGTACCACGGGGACTTAGCCCCTGAGAGTCTTCGCACTCTCGAATCGGCGAAGAGCAGCGGCGGGTTGCTCGTAGTACACGGATGTGTACGGGGGTACGATCACCCCTTTAGAATCTTGATTGACTCTGGGGCGTCGAAGAATTTCGCACGCCGCCAGACGGTTGCTCGTAACAGCAACAAGTTGTCCGAAGCTTTGCGAGAAAGCAAGGGCAACGGGACGGTGTCAGTGCGACTGGCCGACGGGAAGGTCGTCACTGTCCCCAACGTCCAAGTGGATCTGGCTGTCAAGTTTGAAGACTTTGACAGCCTCGAACAGTTCACTGTTCTCGATATGGATCCATATGATATGATCCTGGGCATGCCCTGGCTTGAGAAGCACGAGCCCTGGATCGACTGGCGAGGCAAGGCAATCGGTGCCAGCCGCCCTGCGCAGTCCGACAGAGCATTGGTGAGTCATGTTCCCACCTCTGTCAGGACCCGGGGCGCCCGCGAGGGCTGCCAGGGTACCAAAGCATCCGGCAGATGCTTGGGAGTCGTCGACGTATATGACGACTCCGAGGATGTTTTGATGGTGGCCGCGCCCAGAAGAGGCGCCGGCCAAGTGGGTAACTTAGGTCCACAGGCGGGTAACTTAGTTCCGCAGACAGCTGCAGCTGTCATGAACACTGAGAACAGCGTGTTCAGAGTGGGTAACAGAGTTCCACTCACGGTCGCCCAGACCATGACTGAAGAGGAAGACGTCGGATACGCTTCCTGTGTGGGTAACACAGTGCCACACGCGGTCGCCCAGACCTTAACTGAAGAGGAAGGCGTTGAACACGCTTCCTGTGTGGGTACAACAGTACCACACGAGGCCACGAGTGCCTCGGATGTCGTAGCGACGACATCCCTAGACGTGGGCAGCAAAGCTCCCCGTCACAGAAGCCGTCGGCAAAGACGCCGACGCCGCCTCAAGTCGGATCCGAACTTCGTTCCGATCGACGTCGCTTCAAGCGACTCGGAGTCCAGGGCCCGGGCTCCTCCGACAAGGCCGGTGGAAGAGTGTTATCACATCTTCGATAGCGAGACGGGTTTACCCGTCAAGGCATCTGGTGTCCACTTGGAACCGTTGCCAGAGGTTGCAGAGATACTGAACCTCGAGGAAATGACGGCTGAGTCTTTCCTGGCCAACCTCAAGGCTGGAGAGATCGCTGAGATGGTACTCATGAGACCTGAGACCACTCAGGAGGAGCTGAACTCCTCCTCTGTCTTGGACGAGAACGTCCTGGAAGACATGAACAAGCAGCGTCAGGCGCGCTTGGGTTCTGAGATTCTCAAGAACCCCAAGGATCCGGTGTATCCTTTGGTGACGGAGTATGCGGACGTGGTGAATAAACACCCACCGACCCAACTCCCACCGGATCGAGGCGTACGGCACGAGATTGATCTCGTGCCCGGCACAAAGTATTGTGTCACGAGGCAATGGCCTCTCCCGCGCGAACAGTGCGAGGTCATTGATGCCTTCTTCGCCGCGAAAGCGAAGGCAGGCATGGTGCGGGAGTCGAAATCCCCGCACTCGACGCCGACTTTCTGCGTTCGTAAGCCGAACGGAAAGTGGCGTCTGGTTCACGCTTATAACAAGCTGAACAACGCAACGGTGCCGGCCCAAACACCGATCCCACGAAAGGATGTGTTGTTGAACAACATGGCCGGGAGCGTACTGTACAGTGCGCTGGATTTGGTAGACGGATACTACCAAATCCTGATGCGAGAGAGTGACATCCCGCTCACCGCGGTAAGCACTCCAAGCGGCATGCTTTGGGAGTGGCTCGTCATGCCGCAGGGCTTGTCTAACGCCCCGGTGACGTTCAATCGCCTGGTGACGCAATTGCTCCGCCCTTTGCGTACCTTCGTACAGACGTACTTCGACGACATTTTCGTCCATAGCCGTGCCGAGGGAGGCAAGACGGCCATGGAGGTGCATCTAGGACACCTCCGTCGAGTGTTGGACGTGATGCGAGCGAACAAGCTCTACGCCAACATCGACAAGTGCGTTTTCGCGTCACCAGAGATCAAAGTTCTCGGTTGCTTCGTAAGCAACGTGGGCGTTCGGGCTGACCCAGACAAGGTCAAGGCCATAGCAGCATGGCCGACGCCCCGATCCCAGAAGGATCTTCGAAAGTGGTTGGGTTTGGCCAACTACCTTCACAAGTACAGCGCTGGGTACGCGGGCTTCGCTAAGCCCTTGTCGAGCCTCCTTCAGAAGGACGTCGACTGGCGCTGGGAGCAAGAGCACCAGGATGCTTTTGACAGCATCAAGGCCAGTCTCCAAGAGGCCCCTGTCCTGGCTCTGCCGGACGAGACGAAGCCGTTTAGCGTCGTCTGCGATGCCTCCGATTACGCCATCGGGTGTGCATTGCTGCAGGACGACACGGCTGGACAGGAACGAGTCATCTCATTCCAGTCCAGGCAGCTCAAAGCCGCCGAGCGGAACTACCCTGTCCATGACAAGGAGCTCCTGGCAATGAAATATGCCCTTGTGAAGTTCCGTGTTCACCTTCTGGGCTCTACGCCCTTTGTGATCTACACAGACCACGCGTCCTTGAGGACGGCGACTAACTCGCCTCACCTCTCCCAACGGATGGCGAGGTGGCTGTCCTTCTTCGCGGAATATAACTTCCGCGTCGAGTACAAGCCGGGCAAGCTCAACGTGCTTGCGGACGCCCTCTCTAGGCGTCCCGACTATGAGTTGGCCCACATC